GGGGAGGTAGATAGCCATTATTGCAAAACAAACGTTTGTGAGGTTTGTTTTTTAAGTCTTCAGTTCGGTCATATTTAAAGACCTATAAGCTCCCCATATTGTGCATACGGCATACAGTATTTGTAACGACATATAAAAATAAAAAAATTTACTAAAATAATATAGTGGCCATTCAGCTGTTTGTTTTATCTTTAAAATGCATTACCAGACATTACAACACAGATGATCAGTTACTGTATAAGGGCTTTTTGTTATGCACAGAACCATACATAGTAAGTAGCATACCGCTGGTTGTGGTCCACATTTGTGGTCTAATAATAACAACGGATTGATTACATTAGCCAACAGATAATAAAATCAAATGGAAAATATAACTTACTAAGCAACAAAATAGTAGTCAATCAGATCACGGTGGAAAACCTGATTTCTGACTAAAATACAGCTCGTTTGTTCAAGCAATCTCTTCCACTAATTACCTAAATGGACAGGACCTGTCAGGAGACAATAACTATTCCCTAATAGAATTTGCTCCCAAGTGCAATTTAATTTTCTCCTTGCCCTCGCCTAAAGGTCCCCTTTCTTTCACTGTCTTTTTCTGGCAAAGAAAGGGGGAGCACGCTCTGACATGGCTCAGCCACGATGGTTCTCTCTATTTTTGTCTCTATTTTTAGGGAAACAGAGATAGATATTATTAAAATACTACAGCTTTCTCCTCGTGCTTGCAGAACCTAGCTGGAGTTAACATGAAGAGAGAAAGCCGCGACCCCGCTGCCACGCTCGCGCCACGTTGAGCGCTGTCCTTCGGGAGTAGTGCTGAAATTAACATGACGCCTGCAATCCACCTGAGTAGGTAGGTTTGCATGACGTTGTACGTGTTTGGTCAATACGAAGTATGATGCTCCCTATGGTTATTATGCATCTTGAATTTGTTAAATTCATTCAGTCATGTGATGTTAAAACCTGTAAATTGACTGTCTGGGTCCATTCATTGTGATTGTCGTGTCTGTGTCATTTTGACAAGTAGGCAACGCAGGCTTATCAAAAGTAACTGGACAAGGATAAGAAGGAGATTTCGATATTTCTCCTACGGCACACAGTGTTCCAGGTTCTACTCGAGTGAAGTTGATCGCTATTGTAGCTTAAGTTCCATTGTGCAAATGCATTAAATGCACAAATCCACCACAATTTAGAACAAATGAAAATATTATTCCTCCTTGAATGATTTAGCAATAAACCATTGGCTTTTCGATTGATATTGTTATTCATGCTTCTCCCAATCACAGCTTACTGTTTTAGTGTGCATTTCGGCTTTCGGCAGTGTGTGTTTGTGTGTGTTTTCTTACTGGAATCTACTGGCCTACTGGACAACCTATGTGTATTTTAGTTTGGTTAAACCTGTTCAACTATACAACATGGCTTGATATAGACCTAGGTGATTATATTTCTGTCGTTGACCCACAACTATCAACTGCATTTCAAGTAAGATACTCATAGCCTATAGGTCCTCAAGTTATTTGTGCTTTCTGTCAATCACCAAACCACTTCCCTCAGTGTGTCTTGGTTTAAATAATAAGAATAGATGACGCCTTATTTCGTTGAAGGTAATCAAGCTAGCCTCTTGGGTGCAAACGTGTAACATTATTTTATAAGCTGGTATTGGGGAAGGCCTGGTTAACCTATGAACAATATAACGGTCCAGTGGTGAGAATTAATGGTTGTATTGCGAGACCTCTTGGACCTTGTGCTTTACCTATAAGATGGATTTGTGAATCGCAGATGTCAATGAACTCTTACACTGAAATATTATATCTAATTAGAGGTGACTGGGTCAACAGCGGTGGCAGAAAAGTTGCCCTTTGCTTGAGTTATAGCTTCTCGCTTAGGACTCATTGTCCTATACTAAGGGATGCATCATTAGATTTTACAATGACACAATTACTTTTCCCCCCAAGCACACAAGAGGAGGTGTACTACCCACTTCCATTTATGTGTACCTTCTAGCAGGGGATCAAACAAATGCAGAAGTTTATACTATTTCAATAGGTCTATTTCACTTCAGATATTTTGATCGCTTGCTTTATTGTATTTTTATATAGAATACTTTTTATATTCGTCCGTGGGTATATGAATAAAATAAACAACATCCTAATTTTGTCCCACAGTTTCACTATCAAATGTGCTCTGCCTTTATCAACTGTAGGCCTACTACATCCATCAATTAATCTAATTGTATGACCGAATGTTGACAGTCTAAGAGCATTTTCTCCACACTGTATTTAAAAGCCAAATGCATGATTTCAATGCACTCGACAATCAAAGTAATTTAATAATCTTAGGGGAAAAGGGAATATTAAAATGAAAGTGTATGACGGGATGATTCCCTTGCCTTGCAGCACTGGCCTGGATGAGGGGATGGATGAAGGGGTGGATATAACTGGGACACCTGGCATAAAGACATGAAGGAGGGTTTAGCGCTGGTGTGGGGAGTATTCCCGTAATATCCCTGCTGCTCCCATTTAATCAGCTTGATGAGTGTTTTCATTTTACAAAATTACATTTGAAATATTAACACACAACGGCTTATGGGGTTTGTATAGTCCCCATAGCATTGCAATGTGAAACAATGGAATCATCAGCTAAGTTTTAAATATCCTATAGGTTTAGCTGAAATATCCAACATCATATCCCCATTATGCAAATTAAACCGAATATCTTCTCTTTTTTTACATTGATTCACCTATAACCTTGTAGGCCTATATTGTCAGTCTGCAAGTGATAACCCAACTAATTTGAGTCATGTGAGTAGGCTTTAGGCTTGATATTGAAAAAAAGAGTTTGTAGTTGTACATAAACAGAAAACGAAAGAAGATATCAGAGACAGGTATAGAGACATATAGGCTAACCTTAAGGGGCAGGATAGTGTTAAGCTTACCAACATTAGCTGGACTACTTCGACACAACACCATTTGGAATTAGGCTTCTATTTGACTCCCTTTATCTTTGTGCATCCATTATCTTTGTGCATCCATAAATTGTGTATAAATCCAATAATGATGGATGTTATAGTTGATTTTGCAGGGAATGTCCACCAAATAACGAGATGACAGTCGTTTAGCTGTAATTAGATATAAGGTTGTGTCAGTTTTATTCCGATTTACTCGAAATTATGTATGGTGGAAGCTGGGTGAATCTACGTTGTTTCCATGTCATTTCAACGAAAGTATGTTGAACCAACGTGGAATAGACGTTGAATTGACGTCTGTGCCAGTGGAAGCACGCATGGTGAATAGAAACTCCCCCTGATATTTCTTATGCCCCAAATTAATATTTTCTTCTTTCAATTGTTGTCTGCACAAAATCATATTCTACAGTTATTGTGCTCATTATCAAAATTCTGTTGATATTATTAGGCTATTATTCATTTTATTATTAGTAGTAGCAGTAGTAGTAGTATTGTTAATATTCTTATTATTAGTATTGTTATATCGTAATACAATAATTCAATGATGATTCATAGCCTACATATATTATTTAATGTTATAAATGTTCAATGTTCATGATCATTCATGTAAACACTTGTTGTTATAGTAGGAATGGTGGTACGGGTTAGGGTAATAGCAGACATAGGGCCATATGCTGTAGTTCTTTTGTGTTCAGATATTCCCGAGATTCAGACGGTCGGCTGCTTGTAGGCTACGATTTCGTTCAACGTGTGAGTGGAATAGGATCGTATTGTTCACCTGAACGCTTGGGACGCGGACCAAGCAACCACACTGTACATGCTTGAAGCAAATTGGAAGCGAAGATTGAGTTCATCTAGCTTGAACTACGAACTCTCCGGGGGGAATATCTTAACCCGAGAGCAGTCTCTCAAACGCGGAATTGAAATGAACACTGTCAGAAGGATTGTGCATGGACTTCTAATACCTGTCAAGGCTCTCGGATAATAGGTCTTACTTACAGTCAGGTTACATCCCATTCATAGAGATCAGACACAAATATTGTGATTATGTCCAATCAACGAAAAATAAAAAGGAAAACGCCGCACACTTCTTCTCATGCTCTCAGGTGATTTTATCATAACGTTTCTACCCTTAGGTCTTCATCAGGCATCCATATCCCAGATGCGGGTGGAAGGTCCTGTATGTCCAATCAACAAAATTTAATTCACATCATTTTTTAGCCTACACATCATCGATGGTAGGCCTATACGTATGCTATCGGCAAACCAAATTCAATAACTCCTATCCTAACAAATAGGACCTACTTTTCCTGAAGGTTTAGAGCAGATTTTTTTCAACATTTAGCCTACATGCAATTTACCGATAGGCTAATTGTCAAATCCTTGACAATATGTAGAAACGTATTAATTTCATATCTGTCACCAGCACAGGTAGGCTGTAGGTTCGGCTGTATAGGCTAGTAGCGGTTGCTCAATGTTCACTTTCACGTATTTGAAGAAAGATACGCTTTGATAGTGCAAAGTCTATCAAAGCGTATTGCCATTTTCAGCTGAAAAACATTTGACCCCTTCAGTTATACTGACAGAAAAACAAAGCTACGAGCAAAGCCAGACTATATTTATTGATACTATTCTAAAGAAGGTCGCGTCTTTCTGGTGGCATTCTGCCTTGTCACCAATTCTTCCTTCTTTCTCACTGCACACCTGCGCTCACAAGCAGAATTCTTCCTCCCATTTGAGGCTTGTCCGAGGATCCCATTGGTCCCTGGTGGTGCCTATGCTGGGGTGACGTCACAGTTGCCCCTGCAGTGTGAATGAATCAAGCAGCTTGTTTGATCCACATCAAAAGAGCACGGCGAAATCTCGCACGCATGGACAATATTCCAGGATAATAAAAAACCGGACAGCAAGATCTACAGAAGGGTTCAGACCCTGTTTCTATTTAACATATTCTAATTTTCTCACTAAATAGACGGGAGCTTCAGCCCACCTTGTTGAGCGTGTATATGTGTGTGTTTATTCCCCGTTTTGGATCACAATGATGCAAAGTGCGGCTGTTCTACCAACAGAGAGTCCTGTGAAGGGTGTCCCGGAGATACTCGGAGTGCCAATGCAACGTAAGGCTTTTCCACTTCCTTTTCTATATTGATTATATCATACAGAAATTGGCAGGCGAGCTCTGAAATGCTGCAGGGCACTGCTGTAGAAAAATATGTAGCGTTTAATTAAACTGGGTTGAGGGACAGAAAAGCCAGGCTAAAGAAGGCAGCGATGTTATTCTACTGGATCATATGTATTCATATTATTCAACTTACTCACATTACTTGTGTTTCATATTGTTATTTGAAGTGAGGGTGTTATGAAGTGAGGGTGTTATGAAGTGAGGGTGTTATGCATTTCATTTCTATCTTCTGGTCCTCGTGGAATTTTGTGGAATGCTGTATGGATAGAGATTCTTTATCACATGTGGTCTATGTCTTGTTTAAAGTGTGCATTTGTACTGCTCACAGTGTTGTGTTTCCAACCTCCAGCCTTATGCACGAGTTGTACATGCTGGTTTTACACTATTAGAACCCATGTGCATATATAGGCCTAGGTTGTGACGTGTGTATAATAGTATAATACTCATCAAGACATAAACCCTTTAAGTTTGTACTTTTTTATTTATCATACAGGAATATTCATATTCTCTACCTCGAGCGCATTTTCTTATTCTATTCCCTCGAGCTGTATGATAAGTTTGCTTCTGGTCAGAGATGAGACAGCTGTTTATTTGCAAATGAGTCTGGCCATGGACGAGAGATCAGATGCTCTCATCACCTACTCTCCATACCCCACCAGTTTGACTGACAGCTATTACTGAGTCATATCGGAATTATCCAGGCAATGTTTACGTATGCTTTGATGTTTCTGTTATAGCTGTGTTATTGCACAATTGTAGACTACATAATTGTACAATTATGTCAGTCTTATTATTGTTTGACACATAGGGTGTAGGCTATAAAACAATTATAGATTGTGATATGATACTATAGCCTACTAAAACAGGTAGTTTTAATTTTTATTTAAAAAATGACAAACGTGGAATATGTCACTACATTGTGTGTGCACTAACTACTTTACCTCTCTGCATCAAAGCAAATAATTGGTCATTATCTTCGCATCGGCTCTTTATCTCCGTTTTGTTAATCTATGCTATAGGCCTATATAATCTGATCGTGCAATCAAGATGGAACTGGAATTGGATAAATTCCTGATTTAATTATTCATATGCGAGCCACGGAAATGTATAGATGGACCTAGACTATTACCTCTAATGTTGCTTTTAATCCACAATGACATACTATATAGTTTATAACGCAGATCCAAACGAGCTATTGCTTCTTTCAGCGCAGGAGAGTATATATTTGTTTAGAATCTAGCATAATTGATCATTTAACCCATTTAAAAGTGTATTGAATTGACCTTCATTTAGGCTACCTTATTGATAAAGATAGTGAACCATAATGTTTAATGCACAAAGTGAAACAATGCAGAATTGTGAAATAGAATTGGTTTAACCTATATAAATATATGTTAGTGGTGTATGCTCTTTAATTTTGTAAATCGAGGCAGATTAAAAGATTGTGTAAAGATCTTGCCACTCAACCCCCCTTCGTGCATACATGCTGGATTTAATACCGGATTACTCTAGGAATAAAAGCAATTTAGTATTATGTATCTAAACGTTATTATCATGATTAATATGGCTGTTAGCATGCTCTTATGAATAAGGGTAATTATTCTAAACCGTTTGGATACAAGAGACGTTTAGGCCCCAAGAAAAATAAGATTATTTCCTGAATAGAGTTTACAGCCTGTTTGCTTTGAAGTGTAGTTCATGCAATCTACAAAACATATGAGCTATAGGTCTATGAGCTCAATGTGGCCTTTGAGCTCTATAAGCGAGCTTGTTCCTATAGGCTTTCTTATTTGGTGTTACGATACTGTAGCTAATAAGCACATGACTTGGGTGATATGAAACACTTTTTTAATCCTGTTAAAAAACACAATTAGCCTCTGCTAATTGAAATACAGTAAACGAGCATGATAGATTTATGTTATAGGCGATGCATATATTGTAACTGAGAAAAGGAAGCGTATAGGATCACATTTGCTGAGATTTGAGGACCCCTCTTGAGGAGGCTCACAAGAGATCTTAAGTGGTTTAATCGTGTGATTTATAAGTTATGCAGAAAGAGAGAGAGAGAGAGAGAGAGAGAGAGAGGGAGGGAGGGAGGGAGGGAGGGGGGGAGGGGGGGGTGTAGGGGCTATTAGACATCGAACGTGAATACTGCCAAGATTGGCTCTCGTGCTATCCTTTCAGTACCACCACTTCCACCACAGCATAATGCATAAAGCACCATCAAAACAGAAGAAGTCTTTCGTTTTTTGTGGATGTAAAATACAACTATCTTTCATTTTAGTTTTGTAAAAAGTATTATTAAAAAGCCATGTACTCCATAGTTATCTCATTTGATTGTGAAGTTGATTGGGAAATACCTGTTATGCCCATGTCTGTATAGGTAATGCCACATCGCAATAGTAAAATTAAAGAAATTGACCTTTGCAGCATCTCAAAATGTCTCTCCTGTACATTGTATAGGCTACCGTATCTCCTTCATAAGTGTATCGTAAAATCAACCCTATATTTGTGCATGCTTAGCTTAGGCCTTTTGTATAAATGTAGTTGATTGAGCAGCCCTCCAGAAACTATAATAAAAAATGTAAATGTTTTACTCTTCAAAAATGTATCCCAAAGTAGGCTACAGTATGAAGATGCACATGTAGGCCTACTGTATTGTAATTGTTTTGAAATGTTGTCGTGACCTCCACAGCGCACATTAAACAGCTTGGTATGGGTGTGATTAGATTACTGATTAGGCAGTGTGATTTAAATAATTATTTATTTAAAACAACAATTAGCTTGAGATAGGCTAATTGCAGACATACTGTAGATACAGTAAAAATATTAAACTGCTCGAGCACAAGAAACAGCACCTCCTTCCCAATTATTTTGTGCACAGAACAGTGCTTATTGCATCCGTTTTCATGAGTTTGAGGGGTCAGTTTCAATTTCGATAATCTTCATGCCCTCACCCACTATTCTAATATATTGAAAAGGCAATTTAGTCTACCATGAGAAGTCGCTCTTCATCTTGTCATTGTTCACATGCGCTACGGTTGCACTGACGACAACGGAGATTGAGGGAAATTATTTCCGAAATGTCATATTCTCAAATGAAAAAAATAAGATGGCTATAATAATAATAATAATAATAATAATAACAATACTATTAATATGTATTATTCTATCACATTATATATATATATATATATATATATATATATATATATATATATATGTGTGTGTGTGTGTGTGTGTTATAAATATAAAAATAACTCTGGTTATTTGCTTTTGCAAAGCCTAATCTTATATCACATCAATAGTGACACTATGCTGGTGTTAAGATGTTGATGGTAATGATGGTGTATTGTTTTTAACACTATTAGGCCTAGGCTACTGCTCCTCCTTATAGGTCCGTTTTTTTCTTCATGTTATTTATTACTATTACTATTTAATACTAGTTGGTTTCGAATCAGTGGGCTTATCCAATCAAATCCACTTCAAGGCTAAATATTGTGGCACTGGCACAGGCCTTTGATAAATCTAAGTCGAATGAGTGGCATGCTGACACAATTTACTCTATTTGTTTTCATCGAGGGTCACAATGATGAGGAATTAGGCTACATGACCGATTTTGTTTAACATCATTTTACCCGGCTCTAATCTTATAAACCTGCCAGGGCAATGCTCACCTGTCTTCTTGCACTATTCCAGCACCAATATTTTCTCTTAACGCATGGTGTGTGCTCTCTCGCTCTCTCCCCCCAGAAATCCCCCAGTGTGCGGGCTGTAGTCAACACATCCTCGACAAGTTCATCCTGAAGGTGCTGGACCGCCACTGGCACTCCAAGTGCCTCAAGTGTGCTGACTGTCAAGCGTTGCTGGCAGACAAGTGTTTCTCGCGGGCGGGAAATGTGTACTGCAAAGAGGATTTCTTCAAGTGAGTTCCACTTCTTCATCTTAAAACATTCACCTATCTTGTTTAAATGGGAATTTGGAGAATTTGATTGTAGCAAGCTAAGTGACATTATATGTACAAGTGATTTACTTTAATTGTGAGCTCAAAAATGCCAATAAGATTGCACTGGGTTTGACTTGTAAAATCTGTGACATGATCAGAGTGGTCTGTGTTGCGTGTTGCTTTGGTCTGAGGAAAGATTTGGTGACCACATTACTCATGGACTAGGTTTGACTTCACTTGATCATACAGGACTAGTGCCAGTGAGGATTTTCCTCTTTGCATAGTTTACTATCATAATATAATGATTTGAGATAATGGATGTGTTATAAAACAGGCTTGTGTCAATATTTAGTGACAGGAACAACACAATGAGGTTAATCAAGCTGAACATCCTACAACATCCTCCTGTTTTTTTGTCCATGTTGAATACTTATGTTGGATAAGACAGAACACATAACACTCAAACTTTCAACTCCAAAGACACTCTATAAACAAATTCAATTTATTACTGCTCTACCAGCCTTAGCTGGACACACAAAACAGCAACTTTGAATTTCTTCTCATCCCTCTTTCTCTCCCATTTGCTTCTATCTTTTTACGATTGAATTTCTGAGGCATTAAAGAAGAAAATTAAGTTAGACTTTTATCCAAAACAGGATCAGTACTGGCTTTTACTAAATCATGTTTGAGAGGTTTTAATGTCAGAAGCTTCAATGAGACCTAAAAAGCTTGCGAGTCAGAGAGTGGAGGCTAACTTTATTAGGCGGCCCTGGGGACAATAGGGGGGATTTCTGATGTTAAAACTGCAGCGATGCTGTGTGTGCACTATGGGGATGCTACCGGAGACAGGGAGAGGAGTAGAGATGATGGGGCTTGGGCCTGGGCTGGAAACTGGAGTATAGTGCTGGATTTCCCAGCCGTGATGATGAAACTTCTCCTTGGTCTAAAGGAAGGATTTATTTCTCTGTATAGGCTTTGTGATTTACAGCCCCTCCTGAGTCAGTGCTTTATTGGTTCTCTTCAGCCTGTTTACTGTGCAGGGCTCTCTCTACTGGTTCTTATAGCCTCCACTACCACTACATTGATCCAGGCCATTCGTCAAGCTGAGGACAAGCCCACCACCAACACAAATACATTCCACCACTGATGCTTTGCCCCTCTACAACTAACACAAGTAGTGATACAGATACTATTATTACAGGTGGAAGTGGCAGTTAAAACTATGCATGCTACGTTATAACTATGTTATAAGGCCATGTTATCTTCAGCCTCTGAACAGTGGAGATGCATCCACCTGTTCTGTGTGGGGTTTGTATATCTGATGGCAGGTGTGTATGTGTGTGTGTGTACTTTCAGGCGGTTTGGAACAAAGTGTGCGTCGTGCCAACAGGGGATCCCTCCGACCCAGGTGGTGCGGAAGGCCCAGGACTTTGTGTACCACCTGCACTGCTTCGCCTGCGTCATGTGCAGCCGGCAGCTGGCCACTGGGGATGAGTTCTACCTCATGGAGGATGGCAGGCTGGTGTGCAAGGAGGACTACGAAACAGCCAAACAGAATGGTAGGTTTCTGACTGGGCCATCCTACTAGTCCTATGGCCAATTGGCCATCAAACACCCTCCAAATATTTGGAGTGAATAATTCAGTCTTATCTCCCTGGTTGATAAACTGTCATATTCAGAACCTCTTCAAGGAATAGACTTGACATTAACTATCTAGAGCTGGTGTGATGCTCTGAGTGATGGGTCCAGCAGAGTCCAGCAGTGGAGCTGTGGAGAGAGGTGCAGGAATTAGCAGCCCATTCAAAAGCATTCAGACAGGGAGTTCAGCAGACAGCAAGGTGCAATTAACTCCTGTATGTACAAGAATACTGAAGCATTGAGGAATCACAAGAGACAGGGGGATAGTGAAGCGACAGAATCATCATAAACCTAGCCGGATGGGGTTCCAGTGTCTCTCAGTGTCTCTCAGTGTCCTGCTTGGGCATTCAATCTCCAGTTGCTGTGACCTTTTATGGATCTGATTCTGAAAGCTCTGCCTGTGTATTTATGGAGATTTCCATGGCCCACTGATTGATTATGTTAAGTGATGCGATGTACTTTTACAGTGGGTCCACAATAACTCCCTTCTTCTGGCATTCCCTGGGGAGATTTATGTCCCCTACAGCTAGAGTGGGACAGTTTCAGAAGGGTATTGACTTACGATACAGTCCATCCAAGCAAGTTCTTCACATGTATTTTCTAGTTGATACATAGTAAAACCTATATGATGTTTTCAAAAGTGAAAATCCACAAGTTGATTTCAATCAAAAAATTTTGCAAATATTGCAAACAATATACTTCCAGAAAATCTTCTAGAATCCTTGTATGTCTTTCTCAGATGATTCAGAGGCAGGGGCAAAGCGACCACGGACCACCATCACAGCCAAACAGCTGGAGACCCTTAAAATCGCCTACAAGAACTCTCCCAAGCCAGCACGCCACGTCCGCGAGCAGCTCTCCTCAGAGACGGGGCTGGACATGAGAGTAGTGCAGGTGTGTGCCTCAACAGGATCTCTAATACCAAGCTGAGCAGTTGTCTAGTTGGACTAGCTTAAGATAACATCCTAGTGATAATATGTAGATATATACATGAATTAGAAGTCAAACGTCTCTACTCCCACAATGGCAGGTGTGGTTCCAAAATCGTCGTGCAAAAGAGAAGCGTCTGAAGAAGGATGCAGGACGGCACCGTTGGGGTCAGTTCTACAAAAGCGTCAAACGTAACCGAGGGGGCAACAAAGCAGAGAAGGAGAGTTCAGCAGACGATGCGGGACTGAGTGACAGTGAGCTCAGCTTCAGAGGTCAGTATGGCTAACCCAACCCCAAACCTCCACTTCACATCTCTCTCTCTTCCTCAACTCCTCCTCCTATTCCTGTCTTTCTCCAAAATGGAGCCCACATGAAAAGAGAAGCTTCGGCTGTGCAAATTACATTTTAGACATCCCCATGTTTTTATGGATGTTTGATGTTTGTGAGCCTGTTTTGGGGACTCATAAAAGTCTCAAGCCACTTTTAAAAGGAGGCCATTTTAACGAGAAATGAAAGCCCCGTAGCAGAAACTCTATAAAGGAGGTGAAGCTTTTAGTCAATTAGAAGGAAAGTGCTCTGGGGCATTGTTGTTATTGAAACAGCACTGGAGGGACTGCCGGAGACAAATATTTTGTATTGCACGCACAGACCCCCTTTGTTTGAGCTTAAGGTAAATCACGACTCTTTCAGCCTCTTACTAAGCGCTGGGGGAACACTATGAAGCACTACACACCCATGCCATTTACCTAGATGAAATCCAGATTATGTTGCCTCAATAAAATGGTTTCATAACGGCACTTCATTCTATTTAAAGATAAAAGCTGTATAATGTTGATATAGTTGATGACAGCACCATAGAAGTGTTAAAACCCTCTCTCCCTTCTCTCTCCAGATGACCAGATCCTGTCAGACTTGGGCCACACCAACAGCCTGTATGGGAGTGTGGGCGACGGGGGAGGGTTGAACGGAGGCTTCTCTCTAGACGCTGCTGGACAGCCCTATCATGACATTCGGGCTGGCAGTCCCTACGGCCTCCCCCAGTCACCCTCGTCCATTGCCTCGCTGCCCGGCCACACCCCGCTGCTCAACAACCTGGGCTTCACCATGGACAGCGTCATGGCCCAGGGGGGGCAGGGTGGCGTGGGGCAGGCTCTCAGGGCCATGGCAGGAGGCCCCACCTCTGACCTCTCCACGGGAAGCAGCACGGGCTACCCAGACTTCCCCACCAGCCCTGCCTCATGGCTGGACGAGATGGACCACTCCCAGTTCTGAGCTCCACCATGAACACAGCAGACTGACTGGGGAACAGAGACAGACAAAGCAGGCTTTTTACATTTCTATTTCCCTGAAACTGATATTGTTTGTTGTCCAATAATGGATGTGGAAGTGGTAGCCATGCCAGACAGGCTACACGTCAGCTACCCTCCCACCACTACAGAGTAAAGGATGTGTGGAGACCCTCCACTGACTTGAGCAGAGCAGTGGCGCCACACAGAACAGAATGGCAGGACGAAACACAACTGAATGTTGAACTTACACTGTATTATCATTTTTTTTAATGGATATATTTTTTTCCATTCTCTAAAAAAACTGGATTTGACATTTCCAGCATGAGTTTCTGCATTGGGATGGTGTTTGTCATTAAACCCTGAGGCAAGCCCAAACAGCCATCAGCAATGTTAGGGCCACAATCTAAATGGAATCCCTAAAAAAAAGAAGCTTCCTGCATGCTTCTGAATAAGGAGGATCACTGTTCATATAAAAGCCTTTTACATTGGCAAGGCACTTTACACTTCTCCTCTTTTGTACATGGACAGCAACAAACAGAAGAGAGATGAATGCACAATGCAACCCAGCAGTGTTTCTTTTGAGAAATCATTTCAAACAGTGACACAAGTCTAATTTTACAATGCTACGTTTTTTAAATGTAATGCTGAAACTAACAGCACTGGGTTTTTAGGATGTTGGTCTGGCTGTCTATACAGTGTGGGAGCCACAGATTCTTCTGTGTACATGAGGGGGAAGTCGCTTGCTTCAAACCCATTCTCTTCTGTAATGTAGGTGCTTGACTTGTTATTCTCTGTGAATGATCTGTAGTCCTGGGGGTACACTTTTGTCAGTATTTATTACTCTGTTGTCCATACTCCCAGAATATGCTCTCTGCTAGAAGTTGTCGTGACCCAATGACAGTAGGATAGAAAGAAGTGCAAAGGCAACCCAACAACAATGTGGAAATTCACATTTGATATCCTATTTTATTGGTGCAGCTGACAACATTGGGAATCCTGTCTCATTATGACAGATACAGGAACAGAACAATGGTTTTACTAAATGTTTCATTAATGCAGTATATTTATGTATCTGAGAAAACACACACCAACCTAATCTTGACTGAGAAACATTCACTGTTAATGCTGAAAAGGCATAAACAGCCATCCTGGCTCCAGTAGCTTTGGCTGCTTAGAAGCTGCTCTTCTCTGTCAACAGCTGTAATATCACTCATCAAAATATACTGAACAAAAATATAAATGCAACATGTAAAGTGTTGGTCCCATATGTCATGAGCTGAAATAAAAGATCCCAGAAATGTTCCATACACACAAAAAGCTTATTTCTCTTAAATGTTGTGCACAAATTTGTTTATATCCCTGTTAGTGAGTATTTCTCCTTTGCCAAGATAATCCATCCACCTTAAATATCAAGAAGCTGATTAAACAGCATGATCATTACACAGGTGCACCTTATGCTGGGGACAATAAAAGGCCACTCTAAAATGTGCAGTTTTGTCACACAACACAATGCCTCAAGTTTTGAGGGAGCGTGCAATTGGCATTCTGGCTGCAGGAATGCCCAACAGAGCTGTTTCCAGAGAATTTAATGTTAATTTCTCTACCATAAGCCGTCTCCAACATCATTTGAGAGAATTTGGCAGTACGTCCAACCGCAGACCACGTGTAACCACACCAGCCCAGGACCTCCACATCTGGCTTCTTCACCTGCGGGATTGTCTGAGGAGGGGGGAGGGGGGTGGGCCTGGCTCCCAAGTGGGTGGGCCTATGCCCAGGCCCACCCATGGCTGCGCCCCTGGCTGTGTTAAATCCATAGATTAGGGCATAATGAATTTATGTAAATTGACTGATATCCTTCTATGAACTGTAACTCAGTACAATCTTCGAAATTGTTGCATGTTTCATTTATATTTTTGTTCAGTATAAATACATGCAAAAGGGATTATCAAACGTAATACTTAGAGCCACTGTAAAGCAGCTGATGGCCTGATTGTCATGGTATCTGAATATGCTGTTGTGTCGTGCGTTACAGGCTGCATCTTAGGACCCCTACTGGGTGAGATGAGAGGTTTTACAAAATCTCAGTCTTGTGTGATGGTGTTGGTTTCAAGACTTTCATGTTGTTTCTAAAGACTTACCACCAAAATAAGTGTACAAGGGGGCACTCTCTTGAAGAACGAAAATGATCTAAGATGCCATGAAATAAACAGAGGTAACAAAATGAGATGCAGACAGAATAGAACAATTCCTGTAAAAACATCTCTCAAAATCTCAATGTCTGCTAATTTATATTTCTTTCCGTGTCAATTGCCAAATGTCGAACCAGCTGAAAAGAGCATACATTATGCCAACCAGAAAGCAAACGAACAAAAACAAAAAGGAAAAAAAATCACATGCAAATATATACACACACCAATATACTTTTTGTTCAATCTGTTGCCTCAGAACTTTGCGTCTTAAATGTTGTAAATCTTGTACAGTTTCAAAAGGTGTTGACAGTCTTGTTTCATGAGCGCTATTTATTGCCATGTGTCTTTGAAAAAGATGAAAAAGATAACACTGAAACTATTCATATATGCCTTCTGTGCATTGGTATGAACTGTGTACAGTAAAATCTATATGAGGAAATAAAGCTAAAATGTCTTTGGATTAAAGTGGGTGTATTTCTCTTTAATGTTTACATTTATATTATCATCATCAAGCAGATAGCAGATGCAGTTAGAAGAGATAGGTCTTCAGACTGCAGAGGAAGAGGATGAGCAACAACTCAGCAGTGGGAAGGACGTAGCTTTGGCCGGCCCACCACTTAAGAACCAGAAGGAAAGAGGAAGGACCATGATTAGTGTTTCCTTCTCATAGGGAAAGGTGTGACAGACAGGCAAAGCAATGCCCTAGGGATTGTTCACTCAATTTCTATCGTTTGTCAATCTTGTTCTTACCTTGTAAGAAGCATATGGGCCAGGAGTGACTGCTACCTATGATTCATATTTTATTACTTAGCTATGACCATGCACCACAAGGTAAGAATAGCATAAATTACCTCGAACAGTGGTGTTTAATATCACTCACTTCAGAAGAGTAATCCCATAGGATTGTAGCTACGTGTTTATTGAAAATGTAGAGAACATTATTTTCACTATTATAGACGTCTATATACAGTGCATTCAGAAAGTATTTAGACTCCTTGACTTTTTCCACATTTTGTTACGTTACAGCCTTATTCTAAAATGGATTAAAGAAATACAAATCCTCATCAATCTACACACAATACCGCATAATGACAAAGTGAACATTTATTTAAAAAAACTAAAACAGAAATACCTTATTTACGTAAGTATTCAGACCCTTTGCTATAAGACTCGAAATTGAGCTCAGGTGCATCCTGTTTCCATTGATCATCCTTAAGATGTTTCTTCAACTTGATTGGAGTCCACCTGTGGAAAATTCAATTGATTGGACATGATTTGGAAAGGCACACACCTGTTCATACAAGGTCCCACAGTTGACAGTTCATGTCAGAGCAAAAACCATGTCATGAGGTCAAAGGAATTGTCCGTAGAGCTCCGAGACAGGATTGTGTCGAGGCAGAGATCTGGGGAAGGGTACCAAAAAAAATGACTGCAGCATTGAAGGTCCCCAAGAACACAGTGGCCTCCATCATTCTTAAATGGAAGACGTTTGAAACCACCAAGAATCTTCCTAGAGCTGGTTGCCTGGCTAAACTGAGCAATCGGGGGGGAAGGGCCTTGGTCAGGGAGGTGACCAAGAACCCAATGGTCCCTCTGATAGAGAGCTCCAGAGTTCCTCTGTGGAGATGGGAGGACCTTCCAGAAGGACAACCATCTCTGCAGCACTCCACCAATCAGGCCTTTATGGTAGAGTGGCCAGATGGAAGCCACTCCTCAGTAAAAGGCACATAACAGCCCGCTTGGAGTTTGCCAAAAGGCACCTCTCATACCATGAGAAACAAGATTATCTGGTCTGCTGAAACCAAGATTGAACTCTTTGGCCAGAATGCCAAGCATCACATCTGAAGAAAACCTGGCACCATCCCTATGGTAAAGCATGGTGGTGGCAGCATCATGCTGTGGGGATGTTTTTCAGCGGCAGGGAATGGGAGACTGATCAGGAACGAGGGAAAGATGAACGGAGCAAAGTACAGAGAGTGCTCAGGACCTTAGACTGGGGCGAAGGTTCACCTTCCAACAGGACAACGACCCTAAGCACACAGCAAAGACAATGCAGGAGTGGCTTCAGGGACAAGTCTCTGAATGTCCTTGAGTGGCCCAGCCAGAGCCCGGACTTGAACCCGATTGAACATCTCTGGAGAGACCTGAAAATAGCTGTGCAGCGATGCTCCCCATCCAAGCTGACAGAGTTTGAGAGGATCTGCAGAGAAGAATGGGAGAAATTCCCCAAATACAGCTGTGCCAAGAAGACTCGAGACCGTAATCGCTGCCAAACGTGCTTCAACAAAGTACAGAGTAAAGCGTCTGAATACTTATGTAAGTGTGATATTTCCATTTTCTATTTTAATACATTTGCCACATTTTCTAAAAATCTGTTTTTGCTTTTTCATTATGTGGTATTGTGTGTAGATTGATGAGGAAAAAAACAATTTAATCAATTTTAGAATAAGTCTGTAACGTAATTTATTTTTGAAAAAGTCAAGGGGTCTGAATACTTTCCGAATGCACTGTATAATTTAGCTGTATGTATTTTTAGATATAGGCCTATTATAAATGTGTATTATTGTTGCGTCACCATCTTTATTGCAAAAATAAATAAGTACAAACAGAACTTTAAGCTAGATATTATTTTGATAGAGGTAATATGCTGTCCATTGATCAGCACAGCAATTGATAGAACAGTAGTTCTGAGCTTAATTCAATATTACACAGGTAAGCTAAGTTACAGAAATCAGGAATGCAGACAGGCTCTATCTATCTGAGCTACTGTGTCCAACACACCACCACCTATTGTTATGTTGGACAACTACTTAACAAAAAAGGGTGTTATTATGATATATTTCTTTCAATTACATATTTTACTAAAATAAAGGTTTAAGGAAATACAGGCACACACCACATTATTACAAGACAAAACAGCTCAATCAAGCCGATCTTGTAAGTATAAAAGCAAAGCTTGGATTCATTTAATTTAAAAAAGCATGAAAAGGTAACGTAGTGGGATAATGTCTTACTGTTGTGTGTGAAGAATCCAATACTTTACCTTGTATGCGGTAAAAATCACATTGTGGAAGCATCTCCTCTAAGAGTATGAATTAGGCTGTTTGAGAAGGTTTGAATCCTAAGCAACCTGCCTACGCATAGTGTGAAGTACAATACCAACATAGCTACTGTAGTAGTTCAAAGCTGTGTGCTGTAAAACCTTAGTAGAGCATGGGTGGAATAGGCATTGTGGTGCTCAAGTGAATTTCCTTTCTTTTTCGGCTTCAGACCAATGCCTATTCTCACTTAAAACATGTTTTCTTTTGTTTTTAATATTCTTACTACTTTGGGTGAACTATCCCTTTAAGGATGAACTGATAATAAATATCACACACATTCAAAGATGGTGATCCAGTTAGTAACCAGTGGTGGGTGTTGGTTTTCTGTGTCTGCTAGTCCTTGGCCAGTAGTGTTTGTTTGTAAGCCCGTACACACCACTCCCCACTCCCACCCATAGAAGAGACAAAATGGGGGCAGAAGTAGCACATCTGCTTAGCTGCTGCAAACACTGATCCCTCTGCTACTAAAGACTGCACCAGATTGCAGTTTTGCACAGTCAAATCTTTCCTTAATTCCCGCACTGTTAACTAATTGTAAACTGCTTTGTGAAATATGGATAAATATGCTATGTATCTAGAACCAAAAAGGGTTCTTCGGCTTTCCCCATAGGAGAACCCTTTGAAGAACCCCTTTTGTTTCAAGGTCGAACCCTTTTGTGTTCCATGTAGGACCCTATCCACAGAGGGTACTACATGGAACCTAAAATAGTTCTACCTGGTACCAAAATGGGTTCTCCTATGGGGACAGCCACAGAACACTTTTTTCTAAGAGTGTAGATATAGAGAGCAGCATTCGGTATGGCATAAATACAGTGTATATTACACATCATAGTAAATTAACTGAATACGACAAGGCTCAATTTGAAGTTCCTTACAATTCAGCATCACTAAAACCCATGAGCTAAAGCAGTCTTGTTGGCTAGTTATCTGCAATACACTGGCTACATATTCATAGTCAAATGGAAACAAATAGAATGTAAATATAACTCCTTAATAATATCTCCGTTATCTAGCCTTTTCAGAGTCATAGCAGGCGTGTCCTATACTTAAGTATCATCAATTTGGTTGTGTTTTAGCTATTCCTGTTGAGTAACAAGAAGAAAAGATCGGTCTAGCAGAACAAGCACGTCTGCATAAAACGCCACAAAACAAGCTGATTTTATTCAGCCATTGATTAGACAAGCCATGGGCATTAATGGATAGCCTTTAATAGTGCTGCATTACAAAGATAAACAGCGACAAAGACAGTTAGGATAATTTACACGGCACTTACAGCACTAGTATTCAAATAAATCTAGGAAATTCCTGCACTGTTGCTTTTGCAAAGATGACAAACACAAGCACAAATGCCATTATCATCGATCTGAGGCTTTTATTACAAAGTTCTTGAAGGCAACAATTCTATGTTCCTTCTGAAGGAAAGGAATACATTAACATGTAAATAGATATTTGGTTCAGTCTAAACTTAATCTTGGACATCAAGACAGGATATTTTTCTCCTCAAATTATGGTTTATTTTAATGTTGAGCGATGGCTGCCATGACAGAGTGTAGCTTTAAAGGGGTTTGAGTCACAGAGAGGCCTTTCAATGACAACTTCAAGGTTGTTCTTCTGTTTTAAATGAAATTAGGTTAGTTTCACTGGGTCATTATAGCTGAAATGAGATAGTTCACATATAATTAGAGAGAGGGAGGGTCGTTAACAGGACATTGGCTTCAGTGCGTGATGAGGTTTTGCATAAGAACATTCTGCTGAGAAGAACCATATAGACACTTGAGTGTCTGTGGAGCAGCTTTGATCACTATCACCTTGAGTAGCAGCAGACGGCAATGCTTGTTAATCATGCACTAAACACACGGCTTTGCAACAAGAGACTTATCGAGTCCTCTTGAAGATATTAGAGGGATGCATTTCAACAGCAGAGCTGAGATTTTGCTTACTGTTGAATTCCAAGCGATACTGTTCTGAGGACTAGCGACTGGATTGTATTAAGCATTGGCCAGTACAACGACATGCCACTGCTTTTAGCCCCCAGACTGGGGAGAGTAAGACAGGGGGAGAAAAGTGCTACAGCTCATCCCTGTAACAAACCTTGGCCATCTGTCACTAATGGTGTTAGAGAACCATAGAGGCGACTTGTAAAAATGCATAAACGTTAAGTAAAGAAGGTTGAGCAATATGGCCTGCGATTTGAGAGGAGGCAGTGTCAAAAGTGAAAAGCTCAGAGAAAATTGAGGCCCATAATGGAAACATAATGGGCTTAGTGTCACAGTTGTGCAGACATGCCCGGGGAGCATGCCGTCACCGACTCCTACCCCAACCCAATTGGGATTTAGGAAATTACTGGAAGATGGGCGAAACAACCTTTTGAAATATACCGACAGAATAATTCCTGGTTGTGTAGGGAATGCATAATCTCTCTCTCAGATACCGCAACAGAGCAGACTGTCTGGGCTGGACCATCTCTGTTCTGTATGCTGGGGCCATGGTGACTGACAGACAGCAGTCAGCCGCAGCAGGACTCTTTTTGGTGACTGTTATTTAATGCCTCATGTTCAGGGAGATTGAAAGAGGGATTACAGCATGTCCCCATTGTTTGTTCAAATGTGCATTAGCTTCTTTATCAAGCTGTGGTTAAGAGCTGAGATTCCAGATTTAGTATTCTCATCAGGTGGGAGGGAGGGGGTGCCAAAGAGACTGCTCTGATCAGAAGAGCTTACGAAAAACTAAAGCAGATTTGGAGGCAGCCCATGTGTTGGCTATTTGGAGAACATCCAAATATATCTTAAGTGACATAATAGAGGGTGTGGGTATGTGGGGTGGGCCAAGGGAGACAGAATGTGCTCAGTGGACAAAGGGTACACTCAAATGAAGAGGCCTGGCCAGGCAATGTGATGTGTGTGCTGCTATGGTTACATTAGTTAGCATAGAATAACTTTGACCTGATGTCCATTACTTACATTTCTCCGTGCTCCATCTGAATATAAAATTGCATATTATATGTTTATTTTTGGACAAATATAGGTTAAATTTGTTTTTTCTTGTCCAGTTTTATATAGGCAAGGACGATACCAACTAAAATGCCAAATAAGCAGTCAGAATAGATAGGTAATAATAGGTAAACTTCTGTAGAAGTTTAATGTTTTTTGACCAATGTACATAAGCTCTCCCAATGTCTTTCATATATAAAAAAAAAATCCGGAAACACAAGACAATCGAAGGTAACACAAAATCCGAAGTGCAAACATGACTGTAGTGTAATCAAAGGAGGTGGTCTGAAAAAGTCAGAGAAAAACAGAAAGAACCTAATTTTGGTAGAACTCGTTTATTTAATAGCGATGATGATGGATGCATTCATTGGAATGGGACATGAGAGATGATGAAGTGGTGGGTTGCACTTTCAGAGTGGGATGACCATTACTGAAAGAGCTGGATGCTAGGTCTAGGGTGGGGTGGGCACGGGCTGGAGGGGAGGAGAGGGAGAGGAGGGGATGGCGAAGCTGGGTCTAGCCCTTGGGGGCGGTGTACTGGCGCAGCAGTGAGGAGATGGCACTGGATTCAGTGACCTCCTCGGGCAGTGAGCCCTCCTGGTCCTTAATGGAAGGGTCTGCCCCAGCCTGTAGAAGCAGCTCCACAATGTCAGCAAACTCACACGCAGACGCTGCAGGACGGAGAGGGGGGGGGGGGGGCAGAGTAACAGAAGAGGGAGAGAGCAAAGTGAAAGAGCGCAGGGAGAGAGAACAGAAGGAGAGAGAGGGGGGAGACACAGCAGGGTGAGAGAGAACGAGAGAGGGGAGAGAGAGAGGGGGGAGAGAGAGAGGAAAGAGATATCATTGTGATGCACTTCAGAGGTAAAAGGATCCAGGATTGACTATACAGGTAACATGCCATGAAAGCAGCCATTTCCATATATCATTCTGGGTGGTATGACAAGACAGGACATAGTAAATCTCATTGTTCTGACAGCAACTTGAATATACACTTATCTGTATATATCTTACAGTACCCAAATCACTAATAGAAAAGGATCACCTTTAAATATCTCCAAGGTCACCTGAGGAGACATGATGCACACAACTACGTCTAAACACAGCCTCTAAGCATTGGTGTTTATATTCCTGAAGTTTTTAACCTGAGTGCAGGAGTCAATGAAAAGCTCATATGGAGGCCCATTGACATTGCCCTGAACCTGTGGTTGGCTGAAACACTCAATTTGTGCCCGATTGGCAATTTGTGTCCCACTAAAAGGACTCACAGGCTACGATATGAGGAGAGGGCTTGCATTTTCTTAACTCAGTTAGCGAGTCGCAGCGCTGATGCACCTAGATTCCTCCGTGCTCAGAGTGCTTTTCTCCGCCAGTGTCAATCGCTCTCTCCTCTTAAAGAGAGCCCTCCTGCTCTTGTGTGATGGGCTGATGTCAGCAGGAACGGCTGATTGACAGCAGGCCCTTTTAACCTCCAGCCCAGAGGTGGCTAAAGTGCCGCCCGTTCTCAGCAGGGAGAAGAAAAAAAACAGCCTTAGTTATGTCAGGTTCCAGATTTTTCTTCTTCTTCTACATTTTTATTTTTTGGCTGCGTGCGCTGTACGGGGCCTTGGCCTGTAAAATCCTCATCCCCACGGGAGTCGTTGAGAAGGAGAACAATTTATAGTGTGCAGTAAACCCTCAATTAATCATTTGCCAGCCACTGTGGCCCTGTGCAAAGAGAGGTGGAAATGAATTTTCATTCTCTGCTATTTGTCTCCTAGAGTTCATCGCTTATGTTTATTAGTTTTTTTTTTAAAGCCCCATCCTCATGTCCCTGCCTGGGTCCCCAGTGGCGTGGTGGTCTACTGTACGACAGCCACGTGCCCAGTCCCCACCCTGTAGTCACCCAGCCCAGCCAGGGGCCAGATGGTGTCCCCACACACACCAAGGGCTCAGAGGACATGGGGGCCGCCCATGGGAGGGGGTATTGAGAGTCTGAGGAGCACTGTTGATTTCCTTGGGGAGACCTGGTGATTATTACACACTGCCCCTCCATACGCACAGACACACACACACATAGACCATAGATTAGACACAAGCACATGAACACACACACATACACACACGAACACACACACACACACACACAGAGAGATGGAGAGAGGGAGGGATGAAAGAGACGCTGATGGATGAAAGGCACCTTAGATAGCAACAGCAGTAAAAGAGGGAGAAGAGAGGGGGATGAGAAAGAGGGAGGCAGAGAGGGAGACAGATGCAGGGCCAAGAGAGCAGATGGTGCATGGTTCCCCATCCATCCCCATACAATTGTTCACACTCATAAACAGCGATGCAATTTACAGTACATGTACATACAACCATTCATACACAAACATAGCCTATATACACATATTCACCCAGAAATCTAGATTAAAATCTCTGATATCCGGAAGATTTTGCTTTATGACAACTCCTTACCATAGTGTAGCGCTGTCTGGCCCTCGTCATCCTGTGAAAAGAGAGTGAGAAATGTTAAGAAACCTGAGAAGAGCTGAAGACAAACAGGTCTAACTTGCAGACCCTTAACACAGTAATAGGGACAACAATGTGTATCATAGAGACAAAAACAATAGAACAATGAAAGAACCTTAGTCTTGTCAGTTGTAAAGTTCTTACTTGTGGCTTGCAAACTTTGCAGTTGAGAAAACTGTTATTATTGACTAAATCAAAAACCCAATGATTTCACCATGAAGGGGATTATGTGAAAAGATGAAATATTGATCTCAACCTGAGCGAACAATTAAACCTTTCAACTTGTGAGAGACTCTATAGCAACCTGAGCCAGTGGAACCAATGGCATTAGCCCAGTAGCTACCCCTGAGCCCTGGCTGAGCCCTCCCTGCCACAGGTTAACACACTGTGGCCAATGGACCAGGAAGAGCAGGCAGACCTCCGTGCTCAACAGGCTCTGAGGTAGGGTGACACGGCCAGGGTCGAGGGACAAAGCCTGGGCGTCTCTCGTCATTGTCCTGGGGTGAGAATGTGCTAAATGCATTACCCACAGTGGCCGTCCCGTCACACAATGGTGTTAGTTACAAAGGAGCAATCTGCCCTGAGCACGGCCACCGTTTGGGACAAATTGAAGTGGTATATGTGGTCTGTGAACGGAGCGGGGGCTGATATGAAGAAAGACAATATTTGGGACGGAGGTCAGCGGGGGTGTAAATCCTGTGGACTGTATGTGCAGGCGGCATGAGGCCGGGAGTGAGGGGGTCGGTGTAACACTGACAGTGTATGACACGCATCATCAAGGGGGATTCATCTCTTAATTACCACTCCAGCGTGCCTTTTCATCCCATAATGATGACAAACTGCTATACTGTTGTCACCAACTAGCCGCAGGATCAGATGGGAACAATTAGAATACCTATAGCCACTGAGCTAACTGGCTGTTTCTTTAGTAAGGTCTAAGGCTGTCAAAACCTGACTATCAGCATCCAGCATAGCCGCAGGAACAGCCTTTCTGCTACTTACAAGATAGAATGAATGAAGGGTATAACGCCAATCAGATCATATAAAGCAGCATGAAATATACAGTCAGGTCCAGAATGATTGGCACACTTGATAAAGATGTGCAAAAAAGACTGTAGAAAATAAATAATACAAATACTGAGCTATATTGCATGCAAAAAAAAAGGGGAAATTATATTATTTTAACACAATTGCTCAGAGAAAGAGATTTTGTTTAACAAGTAATAATAATCAAGAATAAAAAGATAGGGGTCAAAATGATTGGCATCGCTGTTTTCAGTACTCCAGCACCCTACCTTCGCAAGGACAACGACACTGAGCCTTTTTCTAAAATGTTTTATGAGATTGGAGGAAACATTGGGAGTAGGGGCGTAGGAGCTGGGAGGGACATGCCCCCCCCACCAATAAAAAATAATATATTCATACAGTTAGGGCCAAATATATTTGTACCCTTGCACTTTTTTTAAATAATTCCCTATTTCTTCTCAAATAAGTTGAAAAAAAATTAATAATAATTGTTCTCCACACATTGTTATTGGATTTTCAACATTGCAGAAACAATTTTATTTCTGTAAACTTAAGTTTACAATTTTATTTAGAAAATAAAGACAAAGGACATGGACAAAATGATTGGCACCCCGGAGCTAGTACTTGGTTGCAAAGCCTTTGGACAAAATAACTGCAGAGTAATGCTTCTTGTAGCCATCGATGAGCTTGCTGCACCTTTCTATTGGCAATTTGTCCGACTTCTCAGCAGGAAACTGCTCTAATTCTTCAATGTTTAAAGGGGTGCCTTCCACCAACTGCTGTTTTCAGATCTCGCCATAGTTTTTGGATGTAATTCAAATCTGGACTCTTTGGTGACCACTCCAGAACAGTCCAGCATCTCTTCTTGAATCATTCAGGGTGCTTTTTATGTGTGTTTGGGGTCGTTGTCTTGCTGGAAGACCCACAACCTTCAATGGAGACCAAACAAAATGTCACTTAGGGCCCCCAAAAGGCTAGGGCCGGCTCTGACTGCATGTGTGGGTATGGATGTGGGTAAGCAGATGAGTTCAGATTTTTTTGTGGCCCCCACCCCCATCAAAGTTGCCTATCCCTGGTCTAGATGGTCTATTGCATGTGTTAACTTCATGCAGGAGAGATGAAGCCATGAGGATACCCACTGACAGACAGGCAGGCAGAGAGAGAAAGGCAACAAACAAACAGGTAAGATAGTGAGAAGTGCCTCTCCAAGCTCATACACTGATGATCTGCCATAGTGTGAATCAATCTGAATGAGTCTAGAGGGTGAAGTGCGTTAACTTCATGCAAGGGAGAGGCAGCCATGATGATATTTAATCTTAGAGTGGAGATTGATTCATTTCAGTTTGACCTTACATGCTTACCTTTTAACTGTGTATGTTGCGGTTTATTATTACAGTATAATAACTGTATTATAAGTTGAAAATATGACGTTAGGTTTCAAACCATACAGTATGTAGAGCAGCAGTAGTAAGAACCTGACATAGGGGAAGTGAGAAAAATACTAGGAAATGAATCATACAGAAAGAGTACAAAATGGTTGTTTAACTGAATATATCCACATTAAGTCACACTGGTATTTAGTACAGTATGAATGGCCATGGCCCTTAGACTGATTGGACTGTATCAGTGTAAGTGCCCCTCTGCAAGGCCCCCCTGTAAATTTTGCCCATTTGTAAGTTTATATGAGTCTGTATCCTTTTCTCAAAAGTCACAAGAAATGAGCATTTAAAACCTGTTTTTCAAAAAAATATTGGCCAAAGAGCTCTACTTTCATGTCATCTGACTATAGCACCGCCTGGAGTTCAGAAGATTGATCTGGTCTACTCCCAATAATGTTTATATACTGTTTTTACCCACTTCATATGATACTCTATTCTAGTCATGGCTCATCCTATATAGCTACTGGTGTATACACCTTTTCTATTCACATATTGTCCATACTGTCTATACACACCTTTCACATACATATATTTATATCTGGACTCTGGTCCGGAAGCTAAATTCCTGCAATTCTATCCATTTAGCCATGGGGTTTGTACTGTGTATTTAAATACTGTATTTTATGAAACATCACAGCACAGTTGAAAAATATATGGCAAATAGAAATCAAAACTGGATGGTGTTCAGAGATAGATGGGAGGGGTTGAGGGTAGCTGAAGGATGGGACTGAAAACAAACAAAAGATAACTATTGTAAAATATACTGTGTTCGTAAAATGTATATAGTATGTATAAGCTAGAAGTAGAAGTGTTGTTGTCCATTAGTTTACTCCAATTAGGGGAGGGGTGGTAGGATTATTGGAAAATAATAAAGGAATATATATATATATATATATATATATATATATTATGGGGGATTGGAAATGATGCAGACAATTACATTGATGGAGGCCACAATATATCTGCAATATTAAAACTGATTTACCCCCTAGAAAAAAATACTGTATTCTCGACATACACTACATACAAAAGTATGTGGACACCTGCTTGTCGAACATCTCATTCCAAAATCATGGCCATTAATATGGAGTTGGTCCCCCCTTTGCTGCTATAACAGCCTCCACTCTTCTGGGAAGGCTTTCCACTAGATATTGGAACATTGCTGCGGGGACTTTCTTCCAGGCCAGGCCAGTCAAGTTCTTCCACACCGACCTCGACAAACCATTTCTGTATAAACTCTTGCCACAAAGTTGGAAGTGTTAAGATTTCCCTTCACTGGAACTAAGGCTAGCCCGAACAATGAAAAACAGCCCCAGACCATTATTCCTCCTCCATCAAACTTTACAGTTGGCACTATGCATTCAGGCAGGTAGCGTTCTCCTGGCATCCGCCAATCCCAGATTAATCAGTCGGACTGCCAGATGGGAAAGCGTGATTCATCACTCCAGAGAATGCGTTTCCACTGCTCCAGAGTCTAATGGCGGCGAGCTTTACGCCACTCCAGCCGGCGCTTGGCATTGCGCATGGTGATCTTAGGCTTGTGTGCGGCTGCTCGGCCATGGAAACCCATTTAATGAAGCTCCCGACTAACAGTTATTGTGCTGACCTTGCTTCCAGAGGCAGTTTGGAACTCGGTAGTGAGTGTTGCAACCGAGGACAGACAATTTTTACGCGCAACGTGCTTCAGCATTTGGCTGTCCCGTTCTGTGAGCTTGTGTGGCCTACCACTTTGCGGCTGAGCAGTTGTTGCTCCTAGAAGTTTCCACTTCACAATAACAGCACTTACAGTTGACCGGGCAGCTATAGCAGGGCTGAAATCTTGCGAACTGAGTTGTTGGAAAGGTGGCATCCTATGACGGTGCCACGTTGAAAGTCACTGAGCTCTTCAGTACGGGTCATTCTACTGCCAATGTTTGTCTATGGAGATTGCATGGCGGTGTGCTCGATTTTATACACCTGTCAACAACGGGTGTGGCTGAAATAGCCGAATCCACTAATTTGAAGGGGTGTCTACATAGCTCATTCTAATATTTCTACTGCTGTATATATAATTCTCAGTATATCTTGTGTAAATTCTTCCGGTGTATATACACATACAGTGAGGGAAAAAAGTATTTGATCCCCTGCTGATTTAGTAAGGTTGCCCACTGACAAAGACATGATCAGTCTATAATTTTAATGGTAGGTTTATTTGAACAGTGAGAGACAGAATAACAACAAAAAAATCCAGAAAAACGCATGTAAAAAATGTTATAAATTGATTTGCATTTTAATGAGGGAAATAAGAATTTGACCCCTCTGCAAAACATGACTTAGTACTTGGTGGCAAAACCCTTGTTGGCAATCACAGAGGTCAGACGTTTCTTGTAGTTGGCCACCAGGTTTGCACACATCTCAGGAGGGATTCTGTCCCACTCCTCTTTGCAGATCTTCTCCAAGTCATTAAGGTTTCGAGGCTGACGTTTGGCAACTCGAACCTTCAGCTCCCTCCACAGATTTTCTATGGGATTAAGGTCTGGAGACTGGCCAGGCCACTCCAGGACCTTAATGTGCTTCTTCTTGAGCCACTCCTTTGTTGCCTTGGCTGTGTGTTTTGGGTCATTGTCATGCTGAATACCCATCCACGACCCATTTTCAATGCCCTGGCTGAGGGAAGGAGGTTCTCACCCAAGATTTGACGGTACATGGCCCCGTCCATCGTCCCTTTGATGCGGTGAAGTTGTCCTGTCCCCTTAGCAGAAAAACACCCCCAAAGCATAATGTTTCCACCTCCATGTTTGACGGTGGGGATGGTGTTCTTGGGGTCATAGACAGCATTCCTCCTCCTCCAAACACGGCGAGTTGAGTTGATGCCAAAGAGCTCCATTTTGGTGTCATCTGCCCACAACACTTTCACCCAGTTCTCCTCTGAATCATTCAAATGCTCATTGGCAAACTTCAGACGGGCCTGTATATGTGCTTTCTTGAGCAGGGGGACCTTGCGGGCGCTGCAGGATTTCAGTCCTTCACGGCGTAGTGTGTTACCAAT